GGCAATTCTGCCAGGTCAAAGAGACTGGGTCCAGCCTTTTTGAGAGATATGCAACTGGGTAGCACCGTGGTCACAACATTTAAGTTAGTACCCTCTTAGCTATTCCTCATTCTTCTGCAATGAATAGCATGAAGGGTTTAGTCAGATCTGGCAAGGTCAGTGCTGGAGCTTGGGCAAAGGTTGCTTTAATTTTTGAAATACTTGGCTTTTCCTCTCAGTCCTAATGGTGAGTCAGAAGGGGTTTCCCTAGCTGCAGCATGGAGAGGTTGTGCCAGCTCAGCAAAGTCCAGTATTGACTAGGAATCTATGGGTTGCTCCTCCCCAGTTACCCTTACCCAGGGTTTGAGGGGAGCGGATGAGCCCTGAAATTGTTAATCTTTTTCTACTGGGACCTGAGGTGTGGTTTCCCCTTTCTCCAATTTGGCCTTTAATTTTGGACAATCCTTTTTCCAATGGTCCAATTCTTTGCCATATACACATTGATTCTTGTCTAGCAGGGTCTTTGTTACTTGGTTTTTTCCCTTTTTGCCTTGAGTATATCCTCTGCTAGCATTGCCAAGATCTTGGTTAATTTTTTCTCTTGTGGGTCTTCCCTTTCATCAAAAACCTTTTGGGCTAGCTCTATCAACTGACCTGTCATCATCCCTTCAAAACACTCTAATTTTTTCAATTTTCTCTTAATATCAGAGGCTGACTGCAAGACGAATGCTATATTAATAGCTCGTCTATTTTTTGGTGTCTCTGGGTCTACAGGTTTATATATATGATAAACCTCTAGGAGACACTCAAGGAAAGATGATGGAGACTCAGAAGCCAATTTTCTTACCTAACTTACTTTTGATAGATTAGTTGGCTTCCGGGCAACAGCTGGGAGGGCCACAAGAAGAGTCTGATGGTACCATTCGAGAGCCTCCTCACCTTCATCCATGTTGGGGTCCAGTTGGGGTGGGTCAAAGGGAAAACAGCATCGAGTCTCATTAGATCCAAAGTGGGCACAGACAGATTGGCACACAAAAGTGTGTATTTATGTGTGCTCCTCAGATGTGAAGATGGCCTGCAAAAGTTGTTGGCAGTCATCCCAGGTCATCTGATGAGTGAAACAAATGGTCTCAAGGAGAGATATTAGAGCCTGAAAGTCCTTAGAGAAAGGCCGATTCTGTAATTTCCAATTGTACAAATCACTGGCAGACAAGGGGACACAGGTGAAGAAAGATCCCTGAGAGGAGTCTGATGGAGGAACTTCTCGAAGGAGTAGAATGGAGGGTGGGTCAGTGGAGTCAGGGTTAGGTGTGGAGGAGGGAGGTGGGGGATAGTGGCTGTGAGTATGGGGTGGACTGGGAAGGGTAGGGGTCTCTGGGGAGGACCTGTGTTTCTGATGAGCTTGGAGGATCAGGGTGGTAAAGAGGGGCCCAGGAAAGAGAAGGGGAATCCTCAGGAGGAGGCAGAACAGCAGGAGAAGGTGACACCTTAGCTTCCATCATCGCCGTAAGAGGAGGGTACACCCCCCTCCCCATGGTTCTTCCCATAGGAGTTTCCTTATCCATGAGGGTGGATCCTGGATCAAGTCAATTTAAGCTTCGATATAGATTTCTTGATCAGGATGCATAGCTGGCTTATGAGGGGATCCAAAAATGACTTGACAGACCTGTTGAGAGGCTTGTAAATTAAAAGTTCCCTGTGAGAGCCACCCAACACCAAAGGAAGGCCATTCAAGTTTACAGAATGTTCTTAGCTTCTTAGGGTAGACAGGATCTCCATACCTGGCAGCTCAATCCCTGAAATCCTTAAAATAATTAAGAATGAGTTGAAGGGTTACAAATGGGAGGAAGCTGTCTGGTGAGACAAGGGTACAAATAAGTGAATACAGAATGGCACAAAAACAAAGACAAGAATGCAGAACCCTGCCACAAAGACAAAGAATCACCCACAGGGCTATGGCGACTGGAGCAGGTCCTTGATTTTGTAACCAGGAGCTGGTTAAAATTACCAGGTGGCCACTCTCCTATTTGTCAATCACAGACCTGCCTCAGGGGTTTTAAAATAATCAGTTTTTCCTTTCAGTTGAGTAGTCCAAATAGCCCCACAAAAATCACCTCATGTAATTAACTCGAGTTAATCAGCTGATATGAAAAATCTCTAGGCGGTGGTTTACATATTAGGTCCAGCTTAAATTGCAGGAATTCTCAGTAATGGGTGAATTAGGGACAGAAGAAGAAGATAAAGGTAAAGGAGAGCTAAGACAAGATTTTGGCAACGTCTCGCCCAAATAGTAGTAAGCCTGAAAACTTGACTCCCCAAGTATGGTGCACCCAGTGGAGGTCAATTCCTCCCTCAAATGGTGGTAACCCGCCATAATTTTGGCCACATCTTGCCCAAATGGGAGCAAGCCTGAAAAGTTGTCCCGGGTCATAGAAAAGCAGAAAGATGGCGCAGCAAAACAAAAGTAGAAAGTACAGTACCTGCTGGTAAAAAGAAGCTGCGTTCAAAAAGATTCCAATGTCATCCGAAGAGTAGGAACCTGGGGAGATAAATCCCATAAAAGGTGGGATCCCGGATGGAGGAGCCCCCAAAGGATATGGGCAAAAAAATGACTGTTTGGTCACCTTAACGCCGGCTGGATTACATCAGCGTGGCACTGAGCAAAGATGCTCCACCTGAGGAAAGTTGCCAGCGTAAATAGGTAGAGGAGAAGGTTGTTAAGGTGTTGAGGCATTATGGGTTTTCCCACAAGTTGCTATTTGAGCCATTGGTTCTCCTTGAGAAGCTTTGGTCCTCACATGGAGCATTGCTTCCTGGCTCTGGAGAGGAAGACATGTGCTGCTTGGTCTCCAGGATGAACTCGTCACGCTGGCTTTGTGGCATGTACCTGATTGTGCTTGTTATCAGAGGAGCGGGGCCTCCATGTTGCTGAGGATGGCTGTGGTGCTTCTCAGGACAGCCCTGGTCTTTGTTGTGAGTGTGACTTCTCAGCTCCAGCATAGAATCCTCATCTCATCAGCACAGTTCCTTCACTGGCATGGACTTTCTGACTTCCACTGCTGACCTTCAGGCATTCCCGGCATGGATTCATCAAAGAGACTGACCTGAGTCTTTCCTGGAGGCTCTGGACCTCCTGTTGGATTCATGGGAGGCATTGTCATGAGCTCTGGGTTCTGATTTTGACTCATGTGGGACATTGCTGTGGGATTTAGGCCCTTGACTAAATATTCTATGTCTTTGGTTTTGCAGATAGATTTCCTGCATTTTCTTGTATTAACTCCCGGTGACCATTATAAAAATAATATTATAAACTCCATGTCCTGATTCTAATTGTTCTCTGCACAACCCCTAACTACAACAATGATGGATTACAAAAATTAAAAAGGCTTTTTTAGCTGAGCTCAGTGGCAGCACTGTGTCAGAAAGAAGCCAGGGAAGTGCATGCAGAGCTAGAGGCTGCAGTGAGTTATAAAGTAGCAAGCCATAAGGGGCGGGGTCAGCTGTTAGGATCAGTTTGTTTCCATAAAAGGTAATTTGGCTTAGTTTTACAGGAACTAGGGAGGCAGGGAGGGGGTTACATGGTGGGTATGTTACAAGGTTACAACTTAACTGGCAATTGCACAAGTTTTACAAGAAGAGAACAAGTTATGATAAGTATAGCGCATTTTGGGTTTTTGAGCTTAAAACAGAGAGTTGGCGACAAAGATACACAAGGAAGTTTATGTGAAGGTGGAGCTAAAATCCTGGAATGTCAATGGCTGGCATCTGCTAGAAGCTGAAAGAGGAAAGAACCGAGTATTCTTTCCCATAAATTCTTTCCCATAAATGTTTGAAAGAAAGAAGGCACTGCTGATCCCTTGAGTTTGGACTTCTAGACTCGTGGACTATGAGACAATATATTCTTACTGTTTTAAACCAATGAGTTGGTTGTGTTTTTGTTGTAGACCTGGGAAACTTACATAGTGAGTCAAAACATAAAAAAAAAAAAAAAAAAGCAGTTATTTTTTGTTTTGGCTCTTCAATGTTTGGGACAGATTTTATTATTTTATTCATTGTTGTTTTCCTGTTACCACTGATTGATTTCTGTGTAGGAAGCTAAGTAACTGGATACCCAGTGTGAACTTGTTTGTGTGATACACTGTACAGGACTCTCAGGAGACTAACAAAGTGGCTTTTACTTTCTCTGAGGAGACAGGAATGCTTCTTTCTACCATGCTGCGATCTGTTTTCCATTTGTTTGTTTAGTTTAGTTTTTTGAGGCAAGGTCATGCTATATACTTCAGAGTGCCCCTGAACTCACTGAATAGCCCAGGATGGCTTGAATTTTGAGCAATCCTTCTTCAGCATGCAGCGCTCTGAAAACACTGGAGAATGTTTCCATTTAGAAAAGGAAAATTGCAGTTAAAATCTCCTCCAGCATCTAGACTGTTTCTGGCTGGCTATTAGGTCTATTTCATAAAATACCACATTCCATGAACTCTGCTCAGGAGCTAGCAACACTAAACATTTGCATCTAGCTGGCCATAGCTTGAACATCAATGACATTTTCTGCGTTGGTTGACAGAATGGCAGCGCAAGCATAGTCTAGAAGAGCTGTAAAGCTAGTCACTGCAACCTCAGGCAGGTCCAACAAACTCTTGTGCTCATCCTCTGCTTGACCTACAAATTTGGTGGGGCACAAATCCCTGCACGCTGTGAGTCACCTTCTGTGCCCGGAAGGTTTTCTCCCTGACACCGGTAGTGACGTCATAGGAACGACTACCGTTTCCTGGCACATTTACCTCAAGCTTTTTCCTGGTTTCCTGCCTGTGAGAAGAGAAGCTACGATTCAATGTTTTCACACTCATCTTTTCCTTCCTCTTCTTGAAGATGCTCTTCAAGAATGAAGAGCAATCAGAAACATCTCCAGAGGGAGGCCGTGGGAATGGAGGGGGGCAGGGGCTGGGTCCTGAGGGGAGTGCGGAGGGGGAGGGGAGAGGAAGGTGGGGGTGAGGTGAGGGGTGAGGGTGGGAGGAGAGGGAGGCGCCCTCAGCCTCACCTCCTAAATCTCCTTTTAAATTTTTATTTTCTCCGTGTGTGTGTGTGTGTGTGTGTGTGTGTGTGTGTGTACGCGTGCATGCACATGTGTGTTTGTTCTGGGAATCGAACTCTTGAGCTCACACTTGCCAAGCAGGCGTTGTGCCTCTGAGCTGTATGACTAGTCCTTAAATCTTCTCCTTAGAAGCCAGCCAGAATATAGTCAGGTTCTGTGGATCCCAGGGTTGGCATTTCAGAATGTGAATTTTGGAGTGGCCAAGTGTTCCTGTACGTGCATGTGTGTGTGTGTGTGTGTGTGTATAAAGATGTGGTTTCACAATATTGCTGCTTTTGTTTGATTGGGGTTTTGTTCAAATTTTTTTCTTTTATTTTGGTGTGTGTTTCTGAAGAGTCAGCATTTGGGTTCTCTAGTTGACTGGAGTGTTGCGGAAGTTGCTTAGTAAAGAACTAGGCAAGTTATTCTGGGTCACAGCCCAGCTGTGTCTTTTCTGGGGATGAAGTGTCTCTGAATTAGAGATTGGTTCAGGAGAGCTCTCAAGATGACTTCAAAAATCCCCTCATGCCAAAATGGTTCTATTTCTTTGTTTCCTCTTTTCTTCTGCTTCTGAATTATCTTGACCATGCATTTTACACCTTTCAAGTGTCTAGTTTCATGGCTGATGTGGTTGTAAAGGGATCCACTGTGTTTGAGTCGCTGATTCTGAGGTAAGAATATTGGAAAGCAGTAATAAGAAAGCATGAAGGTCTTTCTATAGGTATTACAGATGCCTAAGTAACACCTAAGTAGCTCAAATTGATTTAGAATATTGAGTAGGCTATCTACTGTGTACTGAGTTGTCACTGAAATACAGGAACTCTACATTAATATTTTAAAAAATTCCCAGCCAGGCATGGTGACTCATGCCTGTAATCCCAGAACTCGGGAGGCTGAGGCAGGAGGATCCTTGTGAGTTAGAGACCAGCTTGGGCTGCATAGTGACAGCCTGTCTCAAAAAGACCAATAAATAAGTAAATAAAATTACTCTGTGCTATTAAATAATCATTTTAGAACACACATTTGTACTTTCTTTATCTTTATTCTGAAATGCCTGCAACCCTTAGGGAAAAATGGAAATATCCAGAGGAGAACAACTAAAAATAGCCCTAAATCCCGCCACCCACCACAAATACTGTTACTACTGCTTTATTAACCATTTTTCTCTTCCAGAATCAGCAACTTTTATTCTTTCTGTTGACTCTTCGAAAATCACTGAGGTCACTTCTGCAGACTGCAACTTTTTCACATCCAAAGGTCTGGGACACTTGCTCTGTCTTCCTTACCCTTTGCCACAGGGAGAAGCAAACACTGAAAGATGTGCTCATGATTCAGATGAGTAGCCCTGATTCTGAGTGCTTTGGGTTGTGAGATCCACTGGCACAAAGTGATATCAGGGCAACTTTTGTGGTTTCTTCCTTCCTGTGGCTCTTGGAAAAGCGGGAGGGGAGAGCATTCTTCTTGATTGTTGGACTTCTCTGTGGCAGCATATGGCTCATCTCTGGCATATTTGCTATTACAGTGTCGACCAGGGTCTCATCCTAATTCCAAGCCCACTGAGTTTCAAACTCAGTAAGTTTGTTTTCTCTTTTCCCTTTGTTTTTTCGAAGAAACCATAACTTGGGTTTACTCATCGGCATTCCAGGTGACAAAGATGACATGGGCAGTGGATAAGTAATCCAGTCCCCTTTCCTCTGTGAGGCAGGGGAGTTGTGTTCCTGTGAGTGGCTTGTTTTGTGTGGGAACAGTCTCACCCTCGCATCCTGTCGTGGGATTCAGCTCTTTGGGCTGCACTGTGGTCCTGTCCCACTTCCTCCCACAAGCTGAGATGAAAGCGAAATTCACTTTCAGGGGTGGTTCCTACCCTCCTCTGCTCAATTCCCAAACCCTTCTGTAAAGATCTCCATTCTTCCTTAGCAACTTCTGCTTGAAGCTGGAAGTAGATAAAACATCTACTCATTTTTCAAAGTGTTACTTAAATGTTTTAAATAACATGATCCTTACTATGATGTACTTTGGTTAGGGCCATATAAGTACTGAAACTCCTCTTTGAAACCCTGTCCTCGGTCTCAGAACTTTCTTCTGAGGTGATCACTGTTATTAGTTGAAGACAACTATTCTAGATCTTTTTTCCATCCTTTTATGTGTGTTCATAGTACAGAAATATCTGCACTCATATGCAGCTTTATTTGTATTTGGCTTTATTCACTTAGTTTTATACATTGGACCACTTTCTTTTCTAGTTAGTGTAGAGATCTGCATCATTATGTTACATTGCTATGTATGGTAATGGTGTGGACTCTCACAGTATCTATTTTGTGTTTAATGGCATATAACAGTTGGTTTTTCACTTATATAAATAGTGCTGATGTGAACTCCTGTGAATATGTATTTCCTTAAGCATTTATGCAAAAGTTTCAACAGATAGGTTGGTGCCAAGAAGTAGAATGCTAGGTTGAAAAAATGTGCACTCTTAAATTTAAAAGGTATTACAAAATCATTCAAGAGCAAGTTGACTTGCCCACCCCTAGAATATCTGCTTTCCCATATCCTCATAACACTTAATATGACCATGTGTTTAATTTTCAAGCTCCTGAGAAGAGCACGTCATGCTGTTTTGTCTGATTAACAGGGTGTGAGTATCTGTCTCTATGTTTATCAGCCAGAGAGCAGCCGTCCTTTAACTCTGCATAGGAGCAGAGGCTCAGAAGTCAGGCTTAGAAGGGTAGGCATGGATGAGTCATAGTGGAGTAGGTTTTGAAGTAAGGCTATAAATCAAGATGAATTGCAAAGGTGATTGTATGTTGAAAAACTTTGATTTGCACAAAAGCACATAGTCAGAAAACAGAAATCTGGAATAGGATTGGAGAGCTTAAAGGAAACTGGGTGCCTGGATCCAAACCTTTTGTGCTTATAGGATGAAGTACGATTTGGGGAAAAGAGAAAGAAACAACTAAAAAGATAATGGAGGTTGGAAAGAGTGTTTGGAAACTTAGTTATTATTCTTCATTCCATTTAGATCTTAGATTTCTGTACACTGAGCTGTGAAGAAAAGAGACACCATTTCTTGTCTTACCTTCCTCTATACCTCTGCTAAGTCTCATTTCACTCCTGCTGAGAAAATCCCAGCAGAGAGAGAGGGCCTGCTGCATAGCCATAGTCTGCTATTGAAGAAACGCTTGCTGTGAGACACCAGTTGGTCTCCAGGTCACGTTTAGTCCTTATGGGAGAAATGAGTTTTATTGAAGCCATATGAGGTGTGAACAAAAGATATGAAAAATATTTAATAGTATTATAGTAAATAATACATTGTACTACCATTAATCACCCTCAGAGTACTCCCTTTCACTTCGAACTCTTGTCTTAGTATTGCTGCTGCTTTCTGAAACAGCTCTGTAAGCACACTTTTCTGAGTGAGTCTTTAGTCATAGTATTTTGGCTGTCCCGAAGCTGTTCAAAACACTTTTTGTTCAGGTCACTTTGACTTTAGGGTAGAGCCAGAAGTTGTGTGGTCCTATATGTAGTAAATAAGATGGATGAGGTAAATATTTGTATTTGACAGAAATTTCCTTGAGTATTTTGAATTGATTGAGGACATCTAAGCATTCACAATAGCACAACTACAGATGCTCCTGTAACCAAGTTTCTAGAACTACTTTAGAAAGTAACAAGCAATGGGACAGGCATGGGTTTAGTAGTGGGGAGATTTTGAGGAAGATTAATGACAATGTAGTTTTTGGTATATTCTTTAAAATAAATTTAAGCACTCAGTGTATTTTTTTGTTTCCACTTTATAGTATATGGTGGGTCAGTGTCAAGATGTGCACATGGGCCACTTCATTTTTAATATCTCTTTGCCAAATGATCACGGCCCTATTGTACCTAAATTTCCCAAGGCCACACAGCTTTTAGATACACATCCAGATAATGTGGCACTAGAGAGAGCTGGACTGGGGGCCTAAAGGCTCACAGTTATAGCATTTTGTGATTTCTTGTATTCTGTCACATCTCTCATGAGTTTCTGGTTCTTCCTTTTTAAAAATCTCATCTTTTTCAAAATGTGAAATGGGGATAGTAGTAGTGCTTATGTCAGAGGGTGGCTAAGTGTGTGAGGAAATAAGTGAAAAACACGGCCAGTGTCCAGTGATGGGGTGGTAAATGATAGTCATTGTGTTGGGTTCCTATTTCCTTTTCACACTGCTGTTACTGTTCTCACTCACATGCCCTCCTATTTAGACCAGTGCAGCAGAGAAACAAGAAGCCATTTCTACTAGCCTCAGTAGACTTGCTGTTCTCCTTAAGTAAATTTCACTTTCTAATTTTAGGGGATTAAAAAAATTAATCATACCGAGGAATTAACCAATGAGTGATAAAGTCACAAACTTGGAGAAGTAACAGAAGCTTTCTGGCAAGGGCAAGGTGGTGAGTTCAATTCCCAGCACCAAAAAGAAAAGAAAAAAAAGGGAATATGTTGTAGGGAGCTATGCAACAGCCCCATTGCTGCCTCCCTGTCTCTCTCTCTCTCCTATGGGCACAATGCATTGTATTCATCCCTGTAGCCTCTTCCTGTCCCACCAGCCCGCCCTTAGTCTATAAAAGATGTGATCACTTCCGGAATAAACGGGGCTTGATCAGATTCTCTCGACTTGCCTCAGTCTCTCTGTCTCCCCCATGTGTTTATTTAATCCCCGTTCCCCCTCCAGGTATACCCCCACGGATTGATCCGCAGGCCAGATCAAGTGGCGCCCAGCATGGGGGCTCCTGGCACAAGGGAGTCAATGAGGGAGTGGTTCGAGGAAACTGGCTGAAAGTAAAAGCAAATTGAACCAAAGACTGCGGCGAGAAGTGAGCAAACTAAATCAAGAATCAAAGCTAAAAGCAAAAGGACGTTAAATCAAGGACCAAGGCCTGTGCGGACAACTACCCGACATCCCGCCCGAGTCACAGTGAGTGAACGGTGACCCCATTCCCTTTCCCGGACATGGGTCAAGCATTGAGCGAACACAAACTGTTCGTGGGAGGCCTTATAAAGGTATTCAATACAAGAAGGGTAAGGGTTAGAACAAAAGAATTATTGCAGTATTTTCAATTAATTCATAAGGTTTGCCCTTGGTTCCCCTTAGAGGGTTCTATAGATACCAAGAGGTGGAAAAGAGTAAGAGATGCTTTAAAAGATTATTATAAGGTTTTTCATCTGGAAAAAGGTTCCGGTGACCACCTTTGCATATTGGAATTTAATCTCTGAGCTGCTTGCCCAGCAGCATGCAGATCCTCAGATTGAGGAGATGGTAGCACAAGGCCCTCCGAGCTACACAGCCTTATAGTGCCCCTAAGATGGCGCCTGCCTCCGGCAAGCCTCGTAGCACTCTTAAAATGGTGCTTGCCTCACTTCCGCCACATCAGCGTGGGTCCCTCCCTAAAATTGTGTTTCCAGTGATAGAAATAAACGTACCTCCCCAAGATGGCACCACACAGCCGGAAGACGGCGTGAGCACCACCCTGCTAGCTCCACAATTCATTAGGACTCACGCCATTCACAGTGGCAGCTTTAAAAGAATTAAAGACAGCGGTTGCCCAATATGGCCTTACAGCTGCTTTCAGTCTTGCTATTTTAAATTCTCTGGCTGATGGCTGGCTCACACCTACAGATTGGCAAAGATTGGCCCGAGTGACTTTATCGGGTGGGGATAATCTTTTGTAAAAATCAAAATATACAAAAAATTGCAAAGAGACCGCCAGGCGCAATACACAAGCTGGCAATGGATGGGACCTTAATATGTTAATAGGGAAAGATGCCTATGCCGGCAGAGAGGCCCAAAAGCAGTTTAAGGGCGATATGAGTTCCTCTCTTAGGAGCATTAAGCAGGGGCTGGGAATTTAGCTCAGTGACATAAGTGCCTGCCAGCCAAGCACAAGCTTGTGAGTTCAGTCCCCAGGGCTGGAGATTTAACTCAGTGGCACAGGTGCCTGCCTAACAAATAAAAGTCTGTGAGTTCCATCCCTGGTACCATTGACATTAAAACTGCTTGTCAGCAAGGCCTTGCTATGGCTGCTGCCTTGCAAGGGTTGACAGTTAAACAGTTGTTATCTCAAAAGCATAAACAAAACTGTTTTACCTGTAGAGAGACTGGTCATTTTACAAAAAGACTCCAGAGGTGGAGATTCCAATGTCAATTACTTTGACTCTTTTAACTGTTCATAGTGATATTGGTCTAGTCTCTTAAGTTTAATTTCAGCATATGTAAGGATGGGGACAGCGCTGAAAGGAGAATGAGAGACACTATGGTAGTTATTATTGTCTTCCCCAATGTCAGATCTTAAAAACCTGAGAAGCCTTCATCATCATTTGATTAGTTCTATAATATGCAGTGTGTATTTAATGTGCATAAAGATGGGCACAACTGTTTGGAGGAAACTAGAGACAATTAAGTAAACAGTAAATATCTCCAGTGGACTTGCTTTAAAATCTGTATTTCTTTAAATTGTTCTTTTTTTTAAAACTGTTTTGTTCTGTTTTGATACGTTTGGTCTTGCCCTCTTTGAGATAAAAAACAAGTGTGTGGGACTGATAAACATGTTACTGGGTTTTTGTTGGATCGTTGAGCGGAGCTGTTGGCAGTGTCACTGTTTAAATGTCACTTTACATGCTTTGGTTTTGTAGCCTAGACAACTATTTCTAAGGTGACAGTATGTACCTTATCAACTGTTGATTTCTTACCATTTATTTTTCTATAATTATGTATTAAGATCACTAAAAATGCCAGACAGATAGTAAAAAATTGCCTTTCTTGTGCCATGCGCCTCCCAGTTCCACACTTTGGGGTTAATCCTAGAGGACTTATCCTCAATGCATTATGGCAAATGGAAGTCACCCACATTCCTGAGCTTGGCAATCTTGAATATGTTCATTTAACTATAGATTTCTTTAGTGGTTTCATTTATACTTCTCCCCAGACTGGCAAAGCTACCAAGCATGTTATTAGCCATATGTTAACTACCTTATCAGTTCTGAGATGCCCACAACAATTAAAGACTGATAATGGTGCAGGCTGTGCTAGTTCTGCCTTTTCTCGTTTCTGTCAACATCTTAATACTGATCATATAAAAGGCATACCTTATAACCCTCAAGGTCAAGGCATAGTTAAAAGGGCACATCTCTCCCTAAAACTCACTGTTGATAAAATAAAAAAGGGGGAATGGTACTCCACAAGGAGGACACCTAAAAATATTCTATCTCATGCCTTATTCATCCTTAACTTTTTAAATTTGGATGCTTCTGGACAGTCAGCAGCCACACATTTTTGGCATTCTGAAACACAAAAGCAATTTGCTTCTGTACTATGCTAAGACCCCCTGACTAATTCATGGCATGGCCCTGATCCCATTCTGATATGGAGATGCAACTCAGTGTGTGTTTACTCTCAACAAGATAGAGAGGCTAGATGGCTACCTGAGCGCCTCGTAAAACAAATAGTCAGTTCTTCAAAGACCCCGTGCAATGCCCAGGAATAATGTCATTTCCTGAGGCACAATCCCCTGTGTTCTCTTACAGGTGACACAACTCCTCAGAGCCTTATGCTGCCTACTCAGCCTTCTCCTCGGACTGTACCACACCATGGTGGATTTCGACCCCTGCCAAACAGACTACAACTGCTGACAGCCATGCACACAACCTCCTGTGACTGCGGAGGAGGCTCTTCTCAGTCTGGAGGAACATAAACCAGCCAAATAGACTGTGTCCGCTGTTATGCGAGGCAAGCTCCAAGAAATAGAAGAATGACTTTAACAGTGACAACAACAAATGGCTGCCAACCCCTTCTCCTCGATGTGTGTGTTGCGGGGGGGGGAGCTTTTCCCTTACCTAGCACCCCTTTTGGGTCCCCTAGCTGCCCTATTGCTTCTCCTTTCTGTGAGCCCTTGTATTTTTCAGAGGATTATGACGCTCATTAATAACCGGATAGACGCGTTTATGGCAAAGCCCATTCAGGTACACTATCATCAGCTGGAGATGGCAGATCAACAAACCTACCGGGAAGGAATTCCCACAAATGGCCCATATGACGATGCAGCCTAACTGCCCTGGGGCAATGGACAGGCAGTCAGAGACGGGCAACTAGGACATGCATGTTAACTCCATCAGCCACCTAAGACAGGCACAGGACCAACTGCTGTCCTGCAAGCCCATGACGGGTAAGGCCTAGTTGGGTTCATGTAATGAGGTCCTTGACCTAAGACAGACGCTGTCTTCACAGGGCCTGCCATACTCCTGATTAAATAATATAGAAAGGGAGGAGATGTAGGGAGCCGCGCGACAGCCCCATTGCTGCCTCCCTGCCTCTCTCTCTCTTATGGGCACAATGCGTCTGCCTACATTAACCATAATCCTCTCCTGCTTCCATCACATACCCGGACATGACAATGACCATGTTGTATTCATCCCCGTAGCCTCTTCCTGTCCCACCAGCCCACCCTTGGCCTAAAAAAGATGTGATCACTTTCGGAATAAACAGGGCTTGATCGGATTCTCTTGACTTGCCTCAGTCTCTCTCTGTCTCCCCCATGTGTTTATTTAATCCCCTTTCCCCCTCCAGGTACAGCCCACGGATTGATCCATGGGCCGGATCAATATGTTTTGGTTACTTTTCTCTTATTGAGACAAAATACCTGATGCCCAAAATGAAGCAAAGAAAGGTTTATGTTACAGTTTTGGAGGTTTCAGTCTCTACTCAGCTGGCTCCAAGGCAGGTTGGTATGGCTGAGGGGCAGCTGTTATGGTGACTGCAGGTGACAAACAAAAAGGACAAAAGGGGAAAGGGAAACCTCCTTCTCTTCCTTATGCTGTCTGTTAAGTCCCCACCTGTAGGCAGGTTCAGCCTACCACTGCGAATCACTCTACCAATTCCTTTTTTTTTTAATGTTAAATTTTTCCCAGAGTCCTAAGTTCCAACATGACGTGGATCTCAGGAGACACTGCTGTTCTCCCCCTGGAAGGGCTGCAGTCTGCCACCCTGCCTCCGCTTACAGGGAGGGGAGATGCTGGCTTGGCTTCACTCTACCAATTCCAGTGTGAGACAACAAACCAGTCACAAACACTAGATTCAGCTGCCTCCATGACTGCATGAAGTTTGGGGTGGGGGGAATACCCAGACACAAACCATAACAGACTATCATCTGTGCAGCCCTAAGACATGAGACCTCTTAGTTTCTTCCTCTCTTCATTGTTCTGCACATGTTTACTTATTTCAGAATCCTTTTGAAGCTCAAATGAGGTAACATTTTTGATTTTTTGTTTTATTTTTGAGAAAACATGCATATTGTAATAATGAATATTGAATTTGCATTTATAACTCATGTATAGGAGAATATGGCAATTAAGGGAAAGATACAAGTTTTAGTCATGACTGAGGATTACTTTGTTAAGAGGAGATGCACTGAGTTGGATATTTAACTCAGTGTTAGAGTTTTTAAACGTGGCCTCAGGTCAAAAGTAATAGCAGACAAAGTTTTACAGACTTTTTTCCTTATTACTCCCTAAGTACAATATACAATTATTCAGATATAACATGTATACTATAATAGGTATTATGAGTAATTTAGAGTTTATTTATAGTACGTGGAAGCAGGTGCTTAGATTGTATGCAAATGGCATGTTTTATCAGAAACTGGAGCACCCTAGACTGGTATCTGTGAGGGTTCTGGAACCTTGATGGTAGGTACAAAGGGCCAACTGTATGCAATTCCCAAACATGGCTATAGAAAACAAATCAGAAAGTCCTGTTTAACTTGTAAGGTTTCTCCTGGAAGTTATTGGAGAAAACCTTAGAAGCAAGGTGATAGGATTTTAAGCTATACTCTAACAGTCACAAACTGGCTCAATGATGGCCAACAATTCCATCTTCTAGTCTCTGTGAGATGATCATCCAGACCTCAATGCTACTGAAATCTTCACCCTTCTCCCAAATGAAGAAGTATCAAAAAAGCTTCTTGGCTTTGGCAAGGGTTCATCCCCCTTCAGTCCTTTTCATCTGACCCATCTGTCTTTTCTTTTGCATGATGGCTGTTTTTATTATCCACACATTCCTTTCCAGCTGCTCCCATTTCTCACTGTCCTTCCTAGCCATAGTTCTCAGATGAGTTGTTCCTACTCATCCCTTCTGCACTTGACCCACCATCATGCTTGTATTCATGAAACACCATCACCATTTGAATAGTTTTAGTGAAGCTCACCTTCACCCTGCATTTTGCTGACTTATAGGAAGACAGTAGTATGGTAAGCAGCAGAGAAACAGCCTGTTTGGGATTTGTTGCTCAGACACTGGAATATAACAATGTGAAGAAAAGCAGGGGAGTGGGTTCCCTGGATCCAAGAAGGATCTGAAGTGAGAATTGTCGATGGCAGAGTAAAGAGAGCAACTTCAATAAAGAAGGAGATGGTTGATGGCACCTTCTCCCTGAGCCAGGACTACTGCATGGGAAGAGCAGTTCAAACTTGCAGACATATGGTGAGTTCTGGTGACCCCAGAGATCTCTGCAGAGAAACAAGTGGAATGAAACAGTGGATGCAGCAGATTGAAGTGGCTGGTATATGGCGTGGGTCTGACAGGAGGGGGCATTTGGCCAGGAACCATCTAAGAGAGGTGCCTCCTGATCTTGAAACTCAGAACAACTGCTGGTTCCATCTAGTGGCCACCAGCAGAGTTCAAGCCCACAGAAGGGTGAACCAGAGAAGCTGCAGGCAGAAGGAAGGATTTTGTTCCAGCCTCATAGCTAAAAACCAGCCTAAACTTCAGGAGAAATAAAGGTGTAGGCTTGCTGGGATTATCTACTACCCCACCATAAAGCTATTGATGGCTTTCTGGGATTAATCAACATAGATCTGGACTCTGTCTCCCCACATCGTCTACCAGTGACAGCAGAGACACCATGAAGTAAACATTTTTTTCTTAATTTTTGTTTTTTCTCATTTTTATTTGTTCTTGTATTTATATGAATGTAAACACAGAAAGTAGTTTCTAGCTTTCTGTGATTGTTGTTCTGGTCCTTTGTATTTCATTCTCTTTGTCTTTCTGCTCCAGTTTCCCATAGCTTGCATGATCTTCCTTTGTCCACCAGCCTTGCCTCTCATCATTACCTCTTCTTCTATTTCTCTATTTTTCCTCAAATTTTTAAAAAATTTTCTCCACTGAAGATGAAATTGCCATACTGAGGGCTTATTTACGGCATACAGTTACTGTTTGTTTTATATTTTGTTATATAACCAGAAATCTAGTTCATATGGGTAAAGTACAAAATTGATAGTTATCTCAGTTCACCCTTTTCCAGGCTGTGTTCCGTGGTATTGTTATTGCTGATTTTACCATGTTAGCTAAAGTGACATAATTGTTGTAACCCTATTCTTCCTGGTATACCAAGACTGACATTGTCTAAGGATTATAAAAAATTATGTAGACCAGTGCTAAAGAACCAGAGTTTGGGTCAAGTAGGCATCAATGTCTCATCCTCAATAAGTTGATAAAGTAGGATCTTGCAACAGTCTCAAAATTCCAAAGTCAGTGATACCTGAAAGACAGCTCAGAGAAGTAGTTATTTCCTAAGTAGCTAACACTAAGGCTATTCACCATAGACAGTTTACAAGTATCAAACCAATATCTATGTCCAGCTTGCCAAAGCCAAACCTGATGGGCAATGAAGTAGGACATTCTAAAACTGGCCTCTCTGAAGGGTTATCAACAATGCAAATGGACAAGGCTTTATAAAAAATCAAATCAGTACTAATTTCACAGATATCTACAGAGATGAATAATCACAATAAAATGCATGCTCAGTGGCTCTAGAGCAGACACAGATAAAACAAAATAGAGGCACTTAGGAAAATGATGGAAACCACAAATGCAGTATACAACATGTGAAAGAAATTGAAACCATAAAATATATTCAAATATATTGAGGAGATAAAAAAATTCTATTAAAAATATACATAGCAGAATGAACCAATTTGTAAGGATAGAATCTCAGACATAGAAGATTGGCTTGGAATTAGTGATCATAAAAAGAAAAATTTCTTAAATATAGCAAGGGAACATGAGAAATCAATCAAGCAGCTGCTGGATGATGCAGAGAAGAATAACATAAGATTTATTGGAGTCAATGAAAAAGCAGGAGATAGCACAGTGATATAAAGAAAATCTGTTCAAAGACATCATGGTAGAAAATTTGACTGGCATAGAAAAAGAATTTCACGTACAAATAAGTGAGTCACATAGAAATCTAGTTAGTCATTATTTAAAAAACAACAAAACAAAAGAAAAAACAACTAAGTCAAGTCATATAATAGTTAAGATTCCAGAAATTCAACATAAGAACAAAATATTAAAAGCTGTTAGAAAAAACAAACAAATCACCTATAAAGGAAAGCCTATCAGAATCACAGAATCACAATACAATTCCTTAAGAAGAGCTTGAAGCATTGCAAGCCATAAAAGAAAACAACCTCCATGTCAGATTGAAGTACCATGCAAAACTATCTTTCAAAATTGATGGAGAAATAAAACACTTCCATGATAAACAGCACCTAAGGAAATTCATGAAACCAAACCATCACTTCAAAATGTTCCAAGGGACATTCCAAAAAGATAACAAGGACACAATTTCATGAACCTCAAAAGAATAAATTCACCAAAAAAAGAAAAAGGAGCTAATAATGATAACTAGCCAGGGATTTAGCTCAATGGCATTAGTGCCTGCTTGACAAATGCAAGTCGTAAGTTCGAACCCTGGTACAAAAACAAAATGAAACAAAACAAAACAAAACAAAACAAAAAAAAAACTAAAAAGAATAAATTTACCAAGCAAGGCAAACAATTAAATGCAGAAAAAGGGAAGTTGACATTAGGAAAATAACATAACAGGGATAAGTCAGTACATACCAGTTATAACCGTTGATGGACTCCATTCACCAATCAAAAGAAACAGACTGGCAGAATAAATCAAGAAGCAAGATCCAATAATATACTGCATACAAGAAACATTTAATTCAAAATAAATTTATAGACTAAAAGTCAAAAATGGGAAACAGTATTTCATGTGACAGGAACATGGAAAAAATAGTGGGTAACTATGCTATTTTCAGACAGTGGATTTCAAACCAACATTGATTAAGAGAGACAAAGAAAGACACTACATCCTTGAAAATGGAAAAATCCAAGAGGAAGTGATAACAGTCATAAATATATATGCAACAAGGACCAGTGCACCCAACTATATAACATAAATATTAATGGATATGAAAAGTCAAGCACAAATACAACTGTATTGGAGGATCTCAATGCCCCACTGCCCCACATAGACCAACTAGACAAAAAAAAAAATTAATGAGGTATAACTAGGATAAACTTTTTAACAAATGGACTTAATGTTTACAAAGTGTTCCACACCACAACATCAGAATACAAATTCTCAGTTTCACAAAGGATGTTTCCAAGGGAGACTACATATTAGTTCATAGAATATGCTTAAGTAAA